GGGAGGAATAGTGCCCCATCATTTTCCTCCCCCCACTGACACCAACGATGGGGCACTATTCCTCCCCCCACTGACACCAACGATAGGCACTATTCCTCCCCCCACTGACACCAACGATGGGGCACTATTCCTCCCACTGACACCAACGATGGGGCACTATTCCTCCCCCCACTGACACCAACGATGGGGCACTATTCCTCCCCCCACTGACACCAACGATGGGGCACTATTCCTCCCCCCACTGACACCAACGATGGGGCACTATTCCTCCCCCCACTGACACCAACGATGGGGCACTATTCCTCCCCCCACTGACACCAACGATGGGGCACTATTCCTCCCCCCACTGACACCAACGATGGGGCACTATTCCTCCCCCCACTGACACCAACGATGGGGCACTATTCCTCCCCCCACTGACACCAACGATGGGGCACTATTCCTCCCCCCACTGACACCAACGATGGGGCACTATTCCTCCCCCCACTGACACCAACGATGGGGCACTATTCCTCCCCCCACTGACACCAACGATGGGGCACTATTCCTCCCCCCACTGACACCAACGATGGGGCACTATTCCTCCCCCCACTGACACCAATGATAGGCACTATTCCTCCCCCCACTGACACCAACGATGGGGCACTATTCCTCCCACTGACACCAACGATGGGGCACTATTCCTCCCACTGACGCCAACGATGGGGCACTATTCCTCCCCCCACTGACACCAACGATGGGGCACTATTCCTCCCCCCACTGACACCAACGATGGGGCACTATTCCTCCCCCCACTGACACCAACGATGGGGCACTATTCCTCCCCCCACTGACACCAACGATGGGGCACTATTCCTCCCCCCACTGACACCAACGATGGGGCACTATTCCTCCTCCCACTGACACCAACGATGGGGCACTATTCCTCCCCCCACTGACACCAACGATGCGGCACTATTCCTCCCCCCACTGACACCAACGATGCGGCACTATTCCTCCCCCCACTGACACCAACGATGCGGCACTATTCCTCCCCCCACTGACACCAACGATGCGGCACTATTCCTCCCCCCACTGACACCAACGATGGGCACTATTCCTCCCACTGGCACCAATGATAGGCACTATTCCTCCCCTTACTGACACCAATGATAGGCACTATTCCTCCCCTTACTGACACCAATGATAGGCACTATTCCTCCCCCCACTGACAGCAACGATAGGCACTATTCCTCCCCCCACTGACGCCAACGATAGGCACTATTCCTCCCCCCACTGACAGCAACGATAGGCACTATTCCTCCCCCCACTGACACCAACGATAGGCACTATTCCTCCCCCCACTGACACCAACGATGGGGCACACTATTCCTTCCCCCACTGACACCAACGACGGGGCACTATTCCTCCCCCCACTGACACCAACGACGGGGCACTATTCCTCCCCCCACTGACACCAACGACGGGGCACTATTCCTCCCCCCACTGACACCAACGACGGGGCACTATTCCTCCCCCCACTGACACCAACGACGGGGCACTATTCCTCCCCCCACTGACACCAACGACGGGGCACTATTCCTCCCCCCACTGACACCAACGACGGGGCACTATTCCTCCCCCCCCCCACTGACACCCCACAACGACGACGGGGCACTTTCCTCCCCCCACTGACACCAACGACGGGGCACTATTCCTCCCCCCACTGACACCAACGACGGGGCACTATTCCTCCCCCCACTGACACCAACGACGGGGCACTATTCCTCCCCCCACTGACACCAACGACGGGGCACTATTCCTCCCCCCACTGACACCAACGATGGGGCACTATTCCTCCCCCCACTGACACCAATGATAGGCACTATTCCCCCCCACTGACACCAACGATGGGGCACTATTCCTCCCCCACTGACAACAATGATAGGCACTATTCCTCCCACTGACACCAATGACGGGGCACTATTCCTCCCACTGATACCAATGACGAGGCACTATTCCTCCCACTGATACCAATGATGGGGCACTATTCCTCCCACTGACACCAATGATGGGGCACTATTCCTCCCACTGATACCAATGATGGGGCACTATTCCTCCCACTGACACCAATGATGGGGCACTATTCCTCCCACTGACACCAATGATGGGACACTATTCCTCCCACTGACACCAATGATGGGACACTATTCCTCCCACTGATACCAATGATGGGGCACTATTCCTCCCACTGACACCAATGATGGGACACTATTCCTCCCACTGACACCAATGATGGAGCACTATTCCCCCCACTGACACCAATGATGGGGCACTATTCCTCCCACTGACACCAATGATGGGGCACTATTCCTCCCACTGATACCAATGATGGGGCACTATTCCTCCCACTGACACCAACGATGGGGCACTATTCCTCCCACTGATACCAACGATGGGACACTATTCCTCCCACTGACATCAGTGATGGGGCGCTAGTCCTCCCACTGATACCAATGATGGGGCACTATTCCTCCCACTGATACCAATGATGGGGCACTATTCCTCCCACTGACACCAATGGCGGGACACTATTCCTCCCACTGATACCAACGATGGGACACTATTCCTCCCACTGACATCAGTGATGGGGCACTATTCCTCCCACTGATACCAACGATGGGACACTATTCCTCCCACTGATACCAATGATGGGGCACTATTCCTCCCACTGCAAAATTACAGTTCTGAAGTAGCAACGAAAATAATTTTATGGTTGGGGGTCACCACAACATGAGTAACTGTATTAAGGGGTCGCGGCGTTAGAAAGGTTGAGAACCACTGCTGTACGGCCTCCCATTGCTGCTGTCTCCATCGCCACACTCTGCCATGTGCCACTTTCAGGTCTCCTCACACTGCTGGTGTGTTCCATTTTGTCATAGGATGCTGGCAGATTACGGGCCTCCCATTGCTGCTGCCAGGCCTGTAATCTGCCATGGGCCCCTGTACCGCCTCCTCATGCTGCTGCCAGGTACAGAGTGTCTAATGGGTCCCTGTAAGGCCTCCCATTGCTGCTGTCTCCATCGCCACACTCTGCCATGTGCCACTTTCAGGTCTCCTCACACTGCTGGTGTGTTCCATTTTGTCATAGGGTGCTGGCAGATTACGGGCCTCCCATTGCTGCTGCCAGGCCCGTAATCTGCCATGGGCCCCCGTACCGCCTCCTCATGCTGCTGCCAGGTCCAGAGTCTCTCATGGGTCCCTGTACGGCCTCCCATTGCTGCTGTCTCCATCGCCACACTCTGCCATGTGCCACTTTCAGGTCTCCTCACACTGCTGGTGTGTTCCATTTTGTCATAGGGTGCTGGCAGATTACGGGCCTCCCATTGCTGCTGCCAGGCCCGTAATCTGCCATGGGCCCCCGTACCGACTCCTCATGCTGTGACGTTGCAACAAGGTGGAATTCAACCCTACATATGTTAACCGCCTTTACGAACAGCGAAAGGCCATCACCGATTTCCTGATGTTACAAGCGGATAAAGGTACTCCCCTGTGTATCTTAGATGTCAGCCATTGGCAGCTCATGCGTGACACCTGCCGCTTGCTCAGGCCCTTTGTGAGGAGGCCATGCTATTCGTGAGTCGGCAGGACTATGGGATGAACGACGTCATTCCTCTGTTGCACGTCCTGGAACAAATGCTGTTAACAATGGCTGGTCAGGGTGCGGTAGACGTGGCGCACAGATCTCAACGCCACATGACCCCTGTGGGGGCAGGACAGGAAGAAGAGGAGGAGGTAGAGGAGGACATTGGTGCTCAGGAATTATTGAGTGAAATGGGTGGTTTTTCCACTCAGCAGACAGGAGTGGAGGAGCAGGAGCATGTGGTAGGAGGAGGAGGAGGAGACAGAGGACACAGACGCACCGTGGCAGTATGCTGTGGAGATGGAGGCAGGGAGTCCCTCGCATTCCTTGGCACACAAATGGCCCATAGCATGCTCGCTTGCTTGCGTAGCGACAGCCGAATAATAACCATCAGACAGAGGGATGACTTTTGGCTGTCCCTCCCACCTTGTTGGACCCTCGCTACCGTTCAAAAAATGGTGGCCTTTTTCACACCTGCTGAGAGGGAGGCCAAAATAACGTACTATAAAAACCACCTATGTAGTCAGTTGGTCTCTGCCTTTCTGCGCCAACGTCCATCCTCAGACACTGTGGGCCCTGTGCACTCGCATTCCGCTGCCATGGCAGCAGCAGGGGAGGGGTGGGGTGGTAGGAGCAGTGGCAGCTCCACCAGCAGCAGCTGCCTCAGTCTGCAGTCGATGATGAGTAGCTTTCTTCACCAGCACAGTGAGGAAACTACTAACCAGCCGCAGCAGCAGCAGCAGCATCAGGTGGACCTGGAGCAGGACCTCAAACAACAGGCTCGGGCCTACTTGGACAGCACCCCTGCCAACCGAGGTAGACAATCCCCTTGACTACTGGGCAACGAAACTTGACCTTTGACCCCCAACTAGCTGAATTTGCCCTTGAAAGGCTGTCATGCCCGGCCAGTAGCGTGGCATCGGAGCGCGTGTTTAGTGCGGCAGGAGGTATTGTAACTCCGCGGAGGACACGACTGTCCACCCAAAGTGTGGAGAGACTCACGTTTGTGAAAATGAATCAGGCGTGGATTAGTCTGGATTTCAAACCACCAGTTCCTGACACAACTGACTAAATCCGCCATGAATCATGCCCCAAACATGTTATATTATTTTTAACATAGGCCTCTGTATGGCCTTCAATTTAAGCTGCTTACGCTTCGCCACTCTGCCATGGGCCCCTGTACCGCCTCCTCTTGCTGCTGCCAGGTCCAGAGTGTGTCATGGGTCCCTGTACGGCCTCCCATTGCTGCTGTTTCCATCGCCACACTCTGCCATGTGCCACTTTCAGGTCTCCTCACACTGCTGGTGTGTTCCATTTTGTCATAGGATGCTGGCAGATTACGGGCCTCCCATTGCTGCTGCCAGGCCTGTAATCTGCCATGGGCCCCTGTACCGCCTCCTCATGCTGCTGCCAGGTACAGAGTGTCTAATGGGTCCCTGTAAGGCCTCCCATTGCTGCTGTCTCCATCGCCACACTCTGCCATGTGCCACTTTCAGGTCTCCTCACACTGCTGGTGTGTTCCATTTTGTCATAGGGTGCTGGCAGATTACGGGCCTCCCATTGCTGCTGCCAGGCCCGTAATCTGCCATGGGCCCCCGTACCGCCTCCTCATGCTGCTGCCAGGTCCAGAGTCTCTCATGGGTCCCTGTACGGCCTCCCATTGCTGCTGTCTCCATCGCCACACTCTGCCATGTGCCACTTTCAGGTCTCCTCACACTGCTGGTGTGTTCCATTTTGTCATAGGGTGCTGGCAGATTTACGGGCCTCCCATTGCTGCTGCCAGGCCCGTAATCTGCCATGGGCCCCCGTACCGCCTCCTCATGCTGCTGCCAGGTCCAGAGTCTCTCATGGGTCCCTGTACGGCCTCCCATTGCTGCTGTCTCCATCGCCACACTCTGCCATGTGCCACTTTCAGGTCTCCTCACACTGCTGGTGGGTTCCAATTTTGTCATAGGGTGCTGTATGGCCTCCCATTGCTGCTGCCTCCACCGCCACACTGTGGCTCCACACTCTGGTTTTGGCCCCGTGACTGCCCAAATGAGTGAAGTGTGCGGTGATTCTAAGATCGACGGCACTCATCTGCATGTCATACTGACTGACAGTATTATTTCTCTTCCCCAGCAGACTCCAAGGGCATTTAAATTAAAGGTACAGTGTTCTGCACTAATATAAAGGCTCTCTGAAGCCTAGAAACCCTTTTTATAAGTTAAATTCGCAGCGAATATATTCGCATCGAATCGAATTTATTCCTCGAATTCGCCGAATCAGCCGAATCGAATTTTTGAATACTTCGCTCATCTCTAGTTCTGACAATGGATTTGTAATTTTGTTTAACCAGCCTTGTGGCCCCTCCATCACAGCACAGCCAGGTTTGATTTCAAGACCTTCCTGTAGACTACACTGGCTAAGTAATATAGTCTGGTCCAGGACCCACCCCAGCCTGTTACTGGATAATAAAGGAGCAGACTAGAACTCTTCCTGCAGATATTAAGCATAAGATATTCATATATAAAGCTGGAGTTTAGGTATTGCCTTGGACCACCTTGGACTACCACAAGTATGTATGTGGCATACCTGTGAGATCCCTGTGAAAGTGGGGAATTGTTGTAATAGGCACCACTGCTACAGTGATTGCCACTAGCTTCTGGGTCCCATCACATGTTGGCACAGGCACCATTCAGACAATTTTTTCAAAGAATACAAAGTGTTCTCTGATGGAACAAGGTGGAGATCATGACATTTCCTGTCCTGCCTCTCCGCCTCGTTCAGTCAGGGAATGCATTGAAAAAAGGCAAAGTGTTCCCTGAATGGCACCAGTGCTGAGTGAGCGTCCTTTTGTGTTTACTATGCAGCAAGGCAGCCAAACAGCATGGGACTTGGAAGCAAGTGGAGTGTAATTGTTAGAAGTATATCACACCGGTTAGTGTACAGAGGACAACCAAACACTACCTTCTAATCCCAGTACAAATTCCCCCAAGCCTATATCATCTACAGCACATATTCCCCCAATTCCCCTGTTAGTACAGATTTACCCCCACAGCCTTAAATCTTCTGTGCATAGACTTCCCCTACCAACCCACCCCCTCAGTACAGATTCCCTTCAAACAGACTCCACCCAGCCAACCCCCTTAGTACAGAGCTCTACAGTACAGGCCCCCCTCCCAGCCCACCCACTCAGTACAGACATCGCCATGCCCCTTCTCAGTACTGACCCTCAGTACAGACTATACCCCCGTACAGATGCCCAGCCCAACCCACGGTACAGGTACCTCCTTATTAAACTCACCAGTTGCTGGAGATCTGATGTGCAGTGGCAGAGGAAAGTATTCCCCTCAGTTGTAGATGTGACTAGAGTCAAGAAGTAGCCTACCCTCAGATTTGCACATGAATGAGCAAGAGGCGGGATGTGCATATGAAAGAGCCACTATAGGTCATTCATCTGCAAATTACATGTCCACCATATTAACATGGAAATATCATGATAATATGCATATGAATGCACTGTGGACACAACCTACAGGGGTAAAGCCTATATGGGACAAAGCCCCTGTACAGGAGACAAGACTCAGCTGAAAAGGCGGGATGGTCCCACACAAAAAAATAAGATAACAAAACCAATGTTTGCAACAATATTCAGCACCAGTCCATGGATTTCCCCTGCAGCACTTTTCTATGCTACCAGATGTCCTACGTCTTATGGACGGCATCATCATCCAGCACTGTTCCTTCCAGCACACGTTGCCCTGAACCCTCCCCAGAAAGTGACTAGACAGTGAAAGGAGATCATCTCCTTGTCACTTTAATTTCTCAGTCTGCTTATTTTCAGAACATTTCCTTGTGCTACTTCTTCCTCTCACACCCCAGCCCTGCTGTACAGGAACTACAAGAAGCTGATACCAGGTCATACTCTGGAATTTACACTGCTTGTATTTAAAATTGTATATGTTTATTGATGTATTAATGATTACAGAGCTGCGTTAATGTGTGTCTTTTCTATCTGCTTAGAGTTCAGCATTAATTTTGCTCCCCTCTCCCAGGAGTGACTTGGTAGCCTGACAGCCTTCTAAACTTTATAACCACTTCAGCTCTGGAAGATTTTCCCCCTTCATGACCCAGGCCATTTTTTTTACTATACCACACTGTGCTGCTTTAACTGGTAATTGAGCGGTCATGCGACTCTGTACCCAAATCAAATTTATATAATTTTTTTCACACTTTCCTTTGATGTTAATTGATTATCACTGGGATTTTTTTATTTTTTGCGATATATAAAAAAAGATAAAAAATGTGGAAAAAAAAACATATTTTTTACTTTTTTGCTATAAAACATCCAAAAAAAAACTTCTTCATGAATTTAACCCAAAATTTATTCTGCTATATGTCTTTGAAAAATCCCAGTACTTATATATTGATTGGTTTGCATGAAAGTTATAGCGCCTACAAACTATGGTATATACACTGGAATTTTTGAATACTACTAATGGCTGTGATCAGCGACTTATGATGGGACTGCGGCGGGCAATATGACACTAACTGCCACTGACTGCCACTGACATCACCAGTGACACTAATACAGTAATTAGTGATAATACTATAGACTGTCACTGTATTAATGACACTGGCTAGGAAATGGTTAACATCTATGGTGGGGTAAATGTGTGCCTAAAAATGTGTAATATGTGTAAAGTATGCTGCTTTCATTACTAGATCTCTCAGTTTCTCATCTTAAAGCAGGGATGAGAAACTGACAGATCACCTCCTCTGTACAGAGCTCTGTTTTGTTTACCAACCCAGAGCTCTGGGCTGTGACTGGACACAGCCAATCAATAGGTCCCGGTAGTGAATCGTTGACTGGGACTTGCTGACTGACTTCCACTGTGTACAATCACAGCAGGCGCGGGTGGGGGGGCACGTGCCCAAAATCCGGAAGTAGGCAGAGATGTACCCGTATGTCCAGGGGCGGACTGACAACTCATGAGGCCCCTGGGCAATAAGGGATCATGGGGCCCCTGTGTCCTTGCCCAAACTCACAAAAGCCTATGAAAAAGGTACCAGGGGCATCTCATAGGGCCCCCTACTGACCCCGGGCCCTCAGGCAGTGCCCGAGTTTCCAAATGGTCAGTCCGCCCCTGCGTATGTCTCTTTGCCTAGAGCGGCCTCTTGTTCGTAGTACAATGAGAGAAGGCAGTCATAAAGTGGATAAGCAAAAAGCAGCTGCTCAGGAATGGTGGAGACAGCATTATATAGAGCCCCAACTTAAACAAGGTTAGTGCTTCTGTTGTAAATTTTGAGGATGAATTGCTCTACAGTACTTGCAACAACAACGGTTAGTAAGAGCTTGGTTTTAAAGACCATTTACTCCTTATTAATAATATGTAAATGTTGTGCTATCCATGGCCTAGCCACAGTTTTACTTTAAGGTGACAAGGTGGATAAAGCTTGAGGGAGGGGTTGGCACACCATAGAAGAGGCCAGAACCTGATCCTATGTTATGGTTGGAGCAGCTGATCTTACACTCTTGACCTTGAAAGTTCTCTTTTTAATTGTATTTTCCAACAGAGGTCAAAACAACCTGCAGATAGTTTTCATTGGGTTACAGTCTAACATACCTAATGAACAATGAGATTTCCCTTTAAAGTATATTTTGTGCCTCTGAATACATTTAAGTAAGTGCTTTCCGTAGCATGCCATCATTTTCTCAGACATGCAATGCAGCATTACATTACTTTGCACAATGGATTTTAAATGAGGCAGTTTAAACACTATAGAGTTTATTTAAAAACATAGAAAAGTCAGGCATAGATGTATATTTTTTATGAGAAATCCTGGCTTTTTCTGCATTAACAGCTCTGCAGTGTAAATTCTATATAATTAGTTTTCCATTAACTGAGAGCACATTTTGTGAAAGTAATTGAACAGGTTGTAATATGAATGTTTAAATAACAAGTCTCTTCCTTTTTATTAAAAAAGTTGTGACTATGTGGATAGTACTTTACATTGTAGCACTCTACCGCATGTGTTTTAAAATAATTCAGATAGGTAACAGGGGCATAAAGAGTTCATAAGGTCCATAAAATTCAATTTTCATTAAAAAAACACATAAAACAAAATGCAAAAAGGCAATTATGCTGAAAAAACAGCAAATGGTAAAGTACAATGAATTAGGCAAAAATATTCCTATAGGACAGTCAACCAGTTTTACCGGTGATAATAAAAGTCAACAGCTCAACCACAGGGTCATATGAGTGCAGAGCAGTTAAACACAGCAGTTGAACTTAAGCAGCAGGAAGACACAACAACAGCAAGAAACTCTACTGCATGCTGGACAGACTGCAAGCAAACACCCTGGGAAACATCTCTTACATGCCTGAGTCCCACTCTGTGTACCTTTATATATAATACACCCTCTTCTTCTGCTCTTCATATTACTATCCTCTGTTCACAAATCTCATTTCATTACCCCTCTGCTCCACCCCAAAACTTGTACATCTCCCCTCATTGCTATCATCTCCCTACTATTGCTTTCATCACCTCCCCAAAATGCCTCTTCCACTCCTCCTTCTCATTTTCCTCTCCTCTGTTCCCAAAATCCATTCACTATATCCCTCTGCTCCTCCCAAACATTTGTATATTGTGCCCTCACTGCTTCCCTCACCCATTTATGGCACCCACCACCTCCTCCTATTACTCCACTCTCCCACTGACCCCAACACCTCCACTAGTAGTTTCTCACGCTCCTGCACATCCCGCTCCCATGCCACCTTTCTCACCCTTCTCCTCCTCATAACCGGGGGGACATCTCCCCGAATCCTGGCCCTCCACCACCTCCCTCACCCGCACAAAACCCTCCCACCTCCACGTCCTGCCGCAACCCCCGCAACTTAGTATCTGTCCCCCTGCTCCCTAAAATCTCCCCCCCGTTTTCATGTGCACTCCTGAACGCCCGATCGGGTGTGCAACAAGCTTACCGCCATCCACGACCTCTTTGTTTCCCGCTCCCTCAACCTCCTGGCGATTACGGAAACCTGGATCCAGCCCACTGACTCTACCTCCCCTGCTGCACTCTCCTACGGCGGTCTCACCTGGACCCACTCACCCAGGCCCAACGGTCGTAAAGGTGGTGGGGTTGGCCTGCTCCTATCACCGCTGAGCACCTTCCGAGTCCTCCCAAA